ATGGGTGCTGCAAAAGAACTGCATTCTTCCCCCAAGCAGTGTGGACACACTAAGGGGTTCTTACGGTAGTGGAAAAGCAGCTGATGCTTATATTGCTGAATGGGCGTGTCGGGCTAATTCGCTTTTTTACAGTACATTCGAACATGCATTTCGACTGCGCAGGCTCGCTGAATCTGGGTGTCTGCGGCGGGTGCTTCTAACGACTGCACTCTCGTTGTGGCGCCGTGCGCGTTTTCGCAGATGGTGGTGACTTTTCGTGGCAGGCGCAAGAGAAACCTCGTGTTTCAGTGGTTCCAAGTCGACTTTTACTTTTCGTGCACTTTGGACATGGTGGTGATCTTCGACGAGCTCTGATTTCGTGACAGGCGCAGTGAATCGTTTGGCTCGTTTGCAGATTTCGTGGCAGGTACAGCACTTTGTGAACCTCGATGTGCAGATTTCGCAACAGGCGCAGCACTTTGTGAGTCTCGGCGTGCAGATATCGTGGCAAGTATACAGCGCTTAGTGAACCTCGAGGCGGAGCACTTAGTGAACCTCGACGCGCAGATTTCGTGCCAGGCACAGCACTTTGTGAATCTCGACGCGCAGATTTCGTGGCAGGTGCAGCGCTTTGTGAACCTCGACGCGCAGATTTCGTGACAGGCACAGCACTTTGTGAACCTCGACGCGCAGAGTTCTTGACAGGCACAGCACTAACCTCCCAGATCGCGCACCCGTCACTTCCACCTACACCCCACCTCCTCCACATCCTGGTCTTCTTTGTTGGTGTCATCGCTCCATTTTGTGTGAGTGAGGAGTTGCGCTGTTGAGATGGGCCGCACTGAGCACTTTGGCCACGTAGGAAATCATGGGTTCATTTTTGACATCAAGTGATTGTGCGTAGTGGTTGATCCATTGGAAGACATCCAATTGTGCAGGATCAGTGGGTGGTTAATGGTCTCTGCCGCTGGTGCTGGGTCTTCAGTGCTAGCAGCCGCTTCTCCGGCAGCAACCTCTTCCAGTACCCCCACTGCCAGCCTACGCAGCATCTGCTTGCCCCTCTCACTCCGCTTGCGATCCCCTGCGAATCCATTCCTCCAGCTCCAGCAGCGAGTGTAGCAGATCATCTGTTGCTGCGCCTGTGTGACAAAATAATGCCCGTCATGCCGCCAGTGGCACTTCTTGTCGGCCTTGCCACCCAGCTCTTGGAAAAGGTAGATTGCCCCGCAAGAGGTCCTATTCCACCCCTGCTCAGGCACCGAGCCCTTGTGGCGAGACACGATGCTCCACAGAGCTTTGCAGAAGATCATATATGGAAGGGTGCCTGTCGACGAGAGCACCTCTTTTCCGAAGCCATGTAGAATAATAGCTTCCAGCATCAGTGGATGCTTCGGCCTGGCGGCCAGTTCACTTCCCACGCACCTATCCCCCGCAATACACACGTTATCCAAAAAAACAACTTCCGCACTTTTCCTTCAATAAAAAACTCCATGTATGTCTTGATCAGGTTTGCCTCACAAACTTAGGACTTTGTAGTGGAAAACGCTGCAAAAGAACTGCATTCTTCCCCCAAGCAGTGTGGACACACTAAGGGGTTCTTACGGTAGTGGAAAAGCAGCTGATGCTTAGATTATGCTGAAGCGCGCGGGCGTGTCCGGCTAATTCGCTTTTTTACAGTGCATTCGAACATGCATTTCGACTGCGCAGGCTCGCTGAATCTGGGTGTCTGCGGCGGGTGCTTCTAACGACTGCACTCTCGTTGTGGCGCCGTGCGCGTTTTCGCAGATGGTGGTGACTTTTCGTGGCAGGCGCAAGAGAAACCTCGTTTTAGTGGTTCAAAGTCGACTTTTACTTTTCGTGCACTTTGGACATGGTGGTGATCTTCGACAAGCTCTGATTTCGTGACAGGTGCAGTGAATCGTTTGGCTCGTTTGCAGATTTCGTGGCAGGTACAGCACTTTGTGAACCTCGATGTGCAGATTTCGCAACAGGCGCAGCACTTTGTGAATCTCGGCGTGCAGATATCGTGGCAAGTATACAGCGCTTAGTGAACCTCGAGGCGGAGCACTTAGTGAACCTCGACGCGCAGATTTCGTGCCAGGCACAGCACTTTGTGAATCTCGACGTGCAGATTTCGTGGCAGGTGCAGCACTTTGTGAACCTCGAAGATTTCGTGGCAGGCACAGCGCTTTGTCAACCTCGAAGTGCAGACTTAGTGGCAGGCACAGCGCTTGGTGAACCTCCAAGCGCAGAGCTCGTGGCAGGCACAGCACTTGGTGAACCTCAAAGTGCAGATTTCGTGGCAGGCGCAGTACTTTGTCAGCACGTTGTGCTCTCAGATGCTCACTCTCACTCACTCTCACTCTCACTCTCACTCACTCACACACACTCACACTCACACTTACTCTTCACTCACACTCACATTGATACTCACACTCACTCACACACGCTCACACTCACACTTACTCTTCACTCACACTCACATTGATACTCACTCTCACTCACGCTCACATTCACACTCACACGTCTGGTGTTCGCCAAGGATCATCATTGGGGGTCATAGTTGGGGATGTAGTAGACGCCCTGGTGAGCTCATGTGCGATGTGTTTGGTGAATCTGCTGCAGGTGCTGAACGGCCATCAGGAGCTTATAGTGCTGCAAGACATGCAACGGCCTTCAGGATCGTCACCTTGAACCCAGTCCTCAAGAAAGCCGCGCGCAATGACTTCTTGACCGATTCCAGAGCAAACCAAAAGTACACTTAGTAGAATTCACACCTGTCTCTGAATCTATCAATGTGTCTTCTTACGCCATTACATCGCTTCAAGCATTCGAAAAGACAGATGCGCTTGGTCTGTTCTGATGGTCGCGTGCTGGGTTGGACGCTGTTGAGAATGAACTTGACATGCTCAGAGAAATGCCGCAAGTCAGACTCTGTGCTCTCACTCATACTCGCACTCACACTCACTCACTCTCACTCACACACT